TCATATGGTGAAAAACTGACCGAAAAATAAATCTGTTCTTTTTTTTCTCATAAAAGGCTAAACAAAACAAAAATATTGGTGGTAATTTTTGACTGTGTGACTTTACAAATGGCACCCCGTATAATTTCCCATCATGGAATCAATAAAGTGTTAAATATTTAGTTTATAAACTATGACATTTATAAATGTATGAATCAAATGGTGAAAAACTGACTGAAAAATGAATTTGTTCTTTTTTTTCTCATAAAAGGCTAAATTAAACAAAAATATTAGTGGCAATTTTTGACTGTGTAACTTTACAAATGGCACCCCATATGAGCCTTGGAGATTTGCTTTTCCTTACCATCATTGTCATCCTCATCATAGTGCCTGTGACCTCTGTTCCTCCCTCGATGCCAGTCATGGTGGTCCATTCTGAGCTGTGAGGAGAGAAGCGATGTTCATTCCTTTGCCTTCTACTCTTCACCAAAGCAAACCTAAAACCTTTATCTGTGGGAATCCTCTCCATATTGACTCTACCACATGGCCTGCAGCTCCACATGGAAACACATGTGCCACATTAGATAGATACATGACAGAAGGGAAAACTCTATGGAATACCCCCAGAAGCTTTTCCTGACTTAAAATACAAAACTAAAAACTAAAGAGACAGCTTCCAAATCTGCTCCGGGACCAGTCCTTCATTCAGATGTGTGGTTTATTTAAAAGTATCGTTATATCATGCAATATTTAGTGTTGGCTAATGTTGATCAGCTGTGATGGCCATCTAAAACTGGACCAACTGCAATAAATAAACTGTGGTATACTATTTTTTGAACATTCATTCATTGGTTCATGAGAGATTTTGCTAACAGATAACAGAGAAAAGGCGCTAATCCCAGGTGCTACACAGTGTGTAGCACCTGGGATTTGACTTTCAGCTACGAACACAACAAATGTTTGCATAATAGCTTTAAGACTGACTAAAATATAGCTGTTTATGGTCATTAAGCAGTATTGGCCATCTTAATATCAGTTACAGAGGCTCATTTAATTATTATTCTCAAAAAGTTTAAATAAAATCTAACCAGTGCTTTGTCAGGTATTTTCTAACATACACAGTTGACTCCAATAGTTAATGCCAAAGTTTAAAACACAGATCTTAATTGATGAGTAAGCACTCAGAAGAGAAGTTGGGGACCAGCCTCAGCTACAACCACACCAAAATGCACACAGATATGTGCAAAATGGTACGTTGGAGGCACTTGGTAAGATTGTTTTGCTGTGACAGCGATCTTCATTCAGGTTGATTCTTAAATTTCTTCAGTTTCAGTGAAATTTATTTAAAGGGATCCCCTATTAATTGTACCATTAAACTTTATTTGATAAACATATATTCTAACTGTAAAATAAACACTGTAAAAATACTGTAGGCTGTTTAGTTTTTAGCATTTTTAAACTAAAAATTTAAAAATATATTACAC